CTCGAGCGGGACGCGGCGGCCGCCGGCTGCCGCGCGGCCGCGCCGGCGCCGGCGCCGGCGCCTGTGAGCCGCGGGCTCGCCCCTGGCGCGCCTGCTGTCCGAGTGATCCCGGCGTGTGACTCGCCCTCTTCTCACGCGGCGCCGCTCGCCGCATCTCATGCGATTGCGAGGCCGTCGAAGCCGCAGCCGCCGGCGCGCACTTCCAGCGGGGGGTCCCATGACTCAAGGGAGGACTGCAGCACCACCAGCTGCGCCGAGCAGCTGCTGGGCAGCTGCCCGGACCTGCAGGCGTTCATGCGCCAGCTCATGGCCCCCGACTCGCCGCGCGGCGGCGGCGGCCCGGCACACGCACACACGCACGCGCATGCGGCGCACGCGCAAGCGGCTGCTGCTGCTGCGGCGGCGGCGGCGTGCTCTCAGCATGCGCCGCGCGGCTACTGTGGCGGCCGGCCGTGCGGCGCGGGGCCGGCCGCCGCTGCTGCTGCCACTGCGGCTGCTGCTGCTGCCCCCGCACGGGGCGCGCCCGTGGCGCTGGCGGCGGCGGCTGCAGGTTATAAAGGCGACGCAGCTCACGGCCTAGGAGAGGTGGTTGCAATCGACGACGACATCTTATTGGCGCTGGAACTGGCCACAGACGACATCCGCGCGTACTGATTTGAGAACTGATCTGAGATCTGATCTGAGATCGGTTGTGAGATCTGTTGATGCGAACGCCGCGGCCCGCCCCCAGATCACTCGGATCGTGGTGCCGTCTTAAGCGCTGCTGCGGCGCGCCCAGCCGGCCTGCTGGCAGGGCGCGCCTGCCATCCTTGCACGTCCTCTTGTTTTTTCCAGTCCCGGCCGATTCGTGGGGGACTCTCTGGGTGTGTGATCGCCCGGCTTTGCCGGGCACTGGGGTTTGATTCGCGCGTCTGGCGTTTGCGCTGCCGGCCTTTGCGATGATCAGGTGGTCGGGGCGGGCGCGGCGCCCCGCAGCCCGCGCGCACCCCATGCACTGCAGCCACAGGGCCACGCGCCCGCCGGCCGGCGCGCGCGCGCCCCGCTCGCCGCCGCGCGCCCGGGAAGAGCCGCCGGGCCAGTCTTATACGTTCACTGCCGGGGTCTGGGTGTTGCATCTGTCTCAAGGGTTTTGCCTCCGCCCACCCTTTGCTCGCTCGTGGTTGCCCGAGGGGGCCCCAATTTGCGGTCGCATTGGCGCTGCGCCAGACTGCCTTTGCCTGGCAGGCGGCCGGCGCTCTCTTTGATTATTGATGGGGCCATCCCAGGCGTCCGTGCCCGCCTTGGAGCAAACGGCTGCACGCGCCCCGCGGCCCCGACCGCCCCGCCGCCGGTGTGCAGAAGGTCTGTCTCTTGGCCCCTCCCTCAACGCTCGTTCCCCATTGCAGCGTGGCCGCCTGCACGCGCACAGCGTGCGCGCGCGTGCGGGTGGCCATGTCTCCCGCCCCCGCGTCCGGCCAGCCCGGCGCCCTCTTGTTGGGCTGCTGTCTTGAAGATATATCCTTAACTCTCTACCTCAATTCCCCAAAAGCACCTGCACGAAGGATTAGCATTGCCGCACGACATTGCCACGCCCCGCCGCCGCGCGGCAGCCGACAGCAGGCGCCGTTGTACCGCCGCAGGCTGATTTGGTGGTGGGACCACCTCACGCTTGCAATTGCACACGGCACTTGTACATGGATGGAATGGAAAAGCAATCCCATGTGTGCGCACACGCAAATGAGGCCGCCGTCCCAGACTGGGGTGAGACGGCTGGCCCTGCGAAGCCCAACTCGCCGGCACCCCAACCACTGGCAAAGGAGATTGCTCGTCCCGCGCAGCTCATCCCGCCGCCTCGCAGCTCAGTGTACTCCGCCGCTGGCAGCCCCGCCGGCGTTTGCGCGAGCCAGCAGCTGCACGCGCGTGCCTCCCTCGCTCCTGGGGGTTTCCCCACAAGCACTTGAATTGGGCCCGTGCGCGCGTGCGCCCTGCACACGCGCGCGTGCGGACTCGTCGCCGCCGGCCTTTTTCCTGCTGCGTGCGCGCCGCCTGCAGGGCCCGCGCGATGCCGCCCTGCGCTCCTGTGTAGAGGGCCTCGCGCGAAACCCTGCCACCTTGCATGAGAGAATCGCCGTGACGCGCCGCGAGGGCGGACCTTCTTGGCAGCCCCAAGTCCTGTTTGCGCCGGTGCCCTCAAAGCCAGGGCCTTTTCCGCCGGCCCAGGCGCGTGCGCGTCGCGCGGCCGCTCCGCAACTCGCGCGCCGCCGCGCGCCGCTGCTTGCCGGCCGCGCGCCGCGGCGCGGTTTGTTGGAGGTCTCGGCCCCGCCTCGCCGCGATGATGCCTGATGATGTCACACCACCCAGCTCAACTCAATCGCCCCAAGCTTGACTTGCATGCGGCTGCTCAGTCTTTCCCTCAATCACACAAAACGGGCTGTGCCCCTCATGCCCCACAACCAACCTGCAACCGCCCGCACGGCCGCCCCCTCCTCGGGGTGCCCCGCGGCGCGGCGAGGGCTTGGGCTCTGATTGCTCTGATCGCTCTTTATGGGTCGCCCCGCGCCGCCCGCGGCTTGCACCCGCTGCTCTTCTGCCCTCGCTCACACTCCCACAACCTCGAAAGCGCTCGCGTGGCGGCGACGCCGGCGCGGCCGGCACTGAGTCGTCGGTCGTTTCTGTTTTTTCCGACCCGCGACCTTGTAGCCCCCACGAAGCTTTTGGGGTGCCCTTCCATTGCACTCGCTCGAATGAACACAAAGCAGCTTCGCCTCGCGGCGCGAGGCGCCCAGCCAACGCCACGAGGGTGCGCTGCGGCTCTTGGGGCCCCTCTCCCCCCGCGGGGCGGGATGCGGCCGACGCCGACGCCGCGGCGCCGCGCCGTCCCCCCTCCTCTGGTGTAGCCAACAAACGAAGCGCCGCGCGCCGCGCGGCAGCCTGCCATCCCCCTCTGCGGGCCCGCCCACGCCGCGGGCTCTACGCCGGTTTGCGGCGTCCCCCGCAGCCGAGGCCCGGCGCCACGGCTCGGGCCGCGGCGGGCGTGGGCCGTTGAGTTTTCGCGACCACAACTCATCCGGTTGGGCGGGTCCTTGGCCCGGCTATTCCCATTCGTTGTGGCGAGCGCACCCCGCAGCCGTCTGAACCCATTAAGCCTGGCATGGCACGCCCCCGCCAGATCGCCCGGAAGGGCGCCCGCCTCTGCGCGGGCTCCTGTGGTGCCCGGCACGGCCGGCCGCGGTGGACAGTCCCTTTATTGGTGCGGGGCGGGGCCCAGCCGCCCCTTGTGTGGCCGCACGCCCCAGGCCACCTGCATTGCTGCTTCGGACGCACCCACATCCACACTGCTTGTGCCCGCCATGTTTATGTTTTCATATCCGCAGACAGGGTTGCCCTTTGAGCACCCCCCTCCGCGGCACATGCACATCGAGGCCCCCCGCACATGCTCCCGCCAGCCGCGCGCCGCCGCGTCATTCGTTTACACAAAATCAACCGTGTGGGGGGCGCAGGAGGGGCAGGCTGCTGTGGGCTTGGCGCGAGCGGCGCCCGCTGCCCCGCCCCGCCCCCATGCCCCTCCCGTGACTGATCCGCCTCGACCCTCAGGGGCAGGGGCAGCGCGTGTGCGCCTTTTTTTGTAAATCGTGTAAAACCCAGGTGCTGGCCAAAACCTAACAGCTGCCGTGGCGTGATGGAGTGTTAGCGTCCCTCATACTGCTGGAAGGGGAAGGCCTGACGCGGGCAGTCAAACAGATACTGCATGAGGCTGGGTGCGACGCCCCTGGCGGGCCCAGGTGCGAGGGCCGGCAATGCAGGGTAAGGCAGGCTCAGGGCCTGGGATATGTCCATGCTGCTGCACGGGGTGCGCGTGGCTGACTGCCGCTGTTGACCCAGCAGGCTTGGCTGTTGCACTGTCTCGTGCTGACACCCTCACAACGCGATGTACCTTGATGTAGGAACGCTTTGGGGGCCTGTAGGTACAGCTTGGGGCTGACAGGAGCTCAGCTGCAGGCTGCGCAAAGATCACTGACCGTACATGTGGCCGAACGAATCTGAGACGGGTAACACAAGTATTACAGACACTAGCCACGGCGTAGGATTCCGAGAAGTGAAGCAACATCTCCAAACTTGATCCAAAAGCAATCCAATCACGAGCACAATTCGGGCGACACAAGGAGGGACTCAGAACATCAGGCAAGGGAGGCATAACCAGGTCAGGAAAAGGCTAATAAAGGCAATATCAAAGGGGCGGGGCAGGAGTCTCGGCACAGTGTGATGGCACACTGGCCCAAGGTGGGAACAGGGCAGCAGGCCAGTCACGGCTGCGTGAACAGGTGAGACAGCCATGGTGGCTGCTACATCAGCACTTGTAAAACGCAGCCATCCTTTGTGGCCTGATTGCGACCCCCGTGGGTGGCAGCCACGCTGGCAGGCCTTGGAAGCCTGCTGACTAACATGGGAGCTGGGCACATCGTCCCGCACGCACGCGTGCTAACGTACGTTAGCAGCACGCAGCCGCGCCTACGCAATAGTGCGATACAGAAGCGCCTGGGCTCAGGCCCCAGGCTGCGGCTTGCACACATGGGTCACAATCAGAGCTGTGCCTCTGTATGGCATGACAAGAGCCAAACAACTTATACATTGTGCTCAACACAGATAACGGCAAAGCAATGCTTGTTTGAGCCAAAGACAACAATACACACAGAATAATGTATTTAAACGATTACTACACGCCTCACTTCATAAGCGGCGCGAGGCCAACAGTGCTTCCCCAGGCAGGCAGCGGCGTGCCGCAAGCAGCGGCGCTGCTTGGCGCCGCCCAGGCGCGCTCGTCCGCACGCTGCCGCGATGCGGCCGAGGCGCGGGCTCAGCTGCTGCTCCACCATCCTTGATCAGCTCGTGATGCTGCCAAACCTCCACGCCCGACGGGGCCAACGTCTGCGGCTGGGACGCGACGCGTTTCTGCATGCGACGCATTGGTGGCATGACAAGCAGCTCCTGTTCACAGCAGTCAGGGCTTGCCAGTGAGGGTTAGGCCTGCAGCAGTGTTGCCGGCGTTGTCCCGAGCGCACAGCCTGAACTTGTGTTTTTTGACCAGGTCGGGCGTAGCAATAGTCAAAGTAGCCTTCCCAGTGGTGCCATCAGTAGAGTACGTGATGGGCAGGGCGGTGTCGGAAACACACTTGGACTTAGTTGACTTGGCGGGGTTGTACACCAAGACGTACTCCTTCACACCAGATCCCACCTTTTTGCCGTTCACATCGCTTGCAAGCGCTTTGAACGTGACGGTAAAATTGGTGCCGCTGTATGAGCCAGCCAGGTTGGTGGTCTTGGGCATGACAGGGGCAGTCTTGTCGTAGAAGAGTGTTGTGGTGGCAGGGCCCCACGGCACCGTGTCGGCCTTGGAGTCGCGGAAGTACGCGGTGATGGTGCGCTGGCCCTCGGCAGAGAGCTTCACACTCGCCGTGGACGTCTTGGCCACCCACTTTGGGCAATCTGATCCTGAGGCGACTGGCTTGTCAACGATGCATCTGCACAGCAAAGGTTGTGGGCAATAGAATGAGCCGCGGCTTTTTGAGGATGGTTCAGTGTTCTGAATCTCGAGTCTTGTGAAATCTGAGTGAAATCCGAGTCTTGTGAGTCAGCAGCAAGCTTTGTAAACGCATGCTTCAGCAGCAGGGCAGCAGTGAAGTGTGCCCTGTGCACAGTTTGCATCACGCTCACATCTCATTGGCGTTAGCCGTCACAGTCAGTGCTGCCGGGGTCTTGTTGGTGATCGCCGCAACTGGGACCAGCAGGCCAGATTTTGCCTCCAAAACTGTCGAGGCATTGCCTGGCATGGCGGATGTCGTGCCTGCTGCATCACGGATGAAGACATACACAGTCTTTGCACCATCCCCGGGGGTCAGGCTCCAAGGCGCGGGGCTCTGGAAGGGGATAAAGCTTGTGCATGTAGGGGTATTGGCAATGCACCTGGAGGGAGAGAGTTGGCAAGTGCAAGCGTTGGGAATGTACTTGATCTTATGAATGCCATACACCTGCGCACGAGACATGCAGTAAAGCAAACGTCCGCCGCCTAAGATAGCGGCATCATCAGTGCATCATGTGCGGATGCACGCCTGTTCAGCAGCGCCCCTTCATCCCCACATTTGTGTGTGATTGTGGAAAACACTGCTTATTGCCTTCAGTGCGCGGTACGCATTCAACACAAACTACGCGATCTGTCCAGGCTCACATGGATGCTGCAGCTGGCGTAATGATCAGGTTGACATTGGCCAATGGCACCTTGGCCGGCTTGACCACCCCGCCCTGGCTGATGGCGACAGTGGGCGGCAGGCCCAGGGAAGTGGAGCCGTCGACAACCAGCTTGACTGGTGTGCTGGCAGGGACACCGATGACCTGGGTCACAACACCCTGGCTGATTTTGTACGCGTCGAAAAGGACGGCGGCTTGCAGGAGCTGCCGCCTCCAGTAAGCCAGCAGCCCTCTGCGGCGCGAACCTGATGTACTGTCGTAAACCTAGGAGTGGATATGTTGCGTGAGATGCCAGCATTGTTGAACAGTGCATGATGGACAAATGCATGGGCAAGCGCAGCCCAACCTTCAAATTCAGTGCAAGCTCCAAGCCTGTCAAGGGCATGTGATGCCTTTCACAATTCCACAGCTCGCCGAGTTGGCTTGCAAGCAGGCTGAGCAAAATGAGCGAACCTGAAACAGATGGCAAGCAGTAAATTAACACAGACTGCAATGTACTCGCTGGCATAATGGTATCTCACCTTGTAAATCACAAACACAGCCTCACTGGATAAAGGAAGCTTGGCCGCCAGCTGCTCTGCAATATTCTTTGCCTTGTCTGGGTTGCCTCTGGCGGTGGAAGGATTTCAAGAGCCAGGGGGCATACATGAGCAATAATGTTATTGGTGCCATTGAAGGCAGCGGAATTGGGTACGCAGCTTTGCGCATGTGTACCAATACTCTTCCAAGTGCCTACGCCAATAAGAAGCATCAAGCTCGAGGGCAGAAGTGATTGCAGAATGGCCTTGCACTTGCAGGAGGCTGCTGCGCAAATCATTGCGCTATGCAACGCACAAGATGCAAGCCCAGCCAGACCAAGTGACGCTCACATCCAGGGTGTGGATTCGATCAGTGCCCTAGTAGCAGGGTTGGCAGGAGACCCATCGGTGCTGCCAAGCTGCACGTCCTTTCCGTCGACCACGACCGTCCCACCGTCCACCTGGGGTGGTGCACGTGCGCGGGGACGGTCATGTTGCTATCCTTTGCGGCACCACAGACCAGTTGACTGTTGATACACACATGGTACCATTCGCACTCCTTCTCGTGCACTCTAAACAGCGGGGATCCACGCACCGGCTTGGTTGGTGGCTCTGAAGGTCCAGAAACGTTCATATCCAGGGCCACGCCCGCAGAAGTGTTTGCCGGGCGGTCAGGAGGTTGGAGTGAGCTGTTGTGATGCAAGCTTGATCAAGGTGCAATCTCAAACAGCAGGGCATCGGCTGCAGGATACAGACATCATGCGTTTTGTTATGGTTGGATTTGAATAGAGCTGCGGGTGCCATCGCCCATCATGCACTTGAACCTTGGGCACATTGACCCTTCGACTCACGTGTGCAGCTGGTGCCGGAGACCTTCCCATCCCCATTAAACCCAGAGGGGCAGGTGCAACTGACAACACCCGTGGTCGTGTTGACAGCACACATTGCAGTGGCGAAGCATGTGGCGCTTTGACCAGCCGTGCACACGGGCGATATCGGGGCTGCAAGGTGTGGCAGCGAGTAGAAAAAGTTAGGCAAGAGGAACAATGGTTGGCTGTCGCCACATGCTATCCACACGCACAAGGCAAATGTGGTGCAGTCTTGCACGCACGCTGACAAGGATACCGCTGAACTTTTCTTAATCACAGAGAGTGTATTGCAGTGCACAATGAAGTGCGTGCGACCTACGACTCACCTGCCAGCACTGAGATTGTGATGGTTTTCATAGCACTGCAACCTATGTTTGGAAATGCAGGTGAGGAGTGTGGAGGCAAGGCAGTTGAGCATACCCATTGATGATTGCCACTCATGGTCACGTGCAGGTGGTAAAAGTGAAGGAAGTCAAAAGCAGCACCTTCAATCGTGCCGATGCTCATGGTTAGCAGCAGGGTAGACACATTGAAATGGCACAGTTTGCAGTGGCACCCGTTTCTCCATGAACGTGCACACTTGACAGCAGGCTTACCATCCTTGTCGCCGGAGAATACAATTGAGGTGGTACCGACTGCAAGGCTGCTACAGCTGTAGGTGCTGGCAGTCCCTGCCTTGAGGACACACTTGGTATTGTTGACAGCAACGTTTGCGGCGACAAGTTTGCCCAGAGTCAGCACAACTTCTGCCGCCCCTACTGAGTTTGTGTTGTCAGCCTGGACACTAAGGTCGTTGCCGGTGATCGTGTACGCGGTGCAGTCTGCATGTGGTAGATTGAAGGAATGCAAAAACCGTGGGCAAGGGAGCGTGCTTGCAGCGGACGGCTGCACATAAAGCAAGCATGGCAAGCTTAAGCAAGAGCCCATCAGGGTGCGGAATCGGTGCCAAGTTTCAACTGTCGGCAATCATTGATACACCCTGCAAAACACACACAACCACGCACCCTTTGGAGTCACAGTGATGACAACGCTGGTGGACACAGTGCAGCCTGTTCACAATCGCAAAGGTGGCACGAGATAGTATTTATCCAGTGGATTAGGGTGCAACTCACAATTTCCTGGCTGATGATACGCCAGGTTTAGGGTTTAGGGTTTAGGGTTTAGAGACACCTTGGTGATGTTGAGCGTCTTCCCATAGGCGAGTATTCATTCTCATACAGCATGACCCACTGGCTTGAGTCTTCATCACTCGCTCACCGTCCTTGGAGGCCGCCACAGCAATAGTGTTTGCACCCATCGGAATTCCGCTGCAAATGTAGGTCGTCCCCGACTTGAGTACGCACACACCAGGCGGATCAAACGCAACAATGCCACCGCTTAAGGCAGCGCTTATGTTCAGGGTGATGTTGGCAGAGGCTGTAGTGGGGCTTGCCTCCACCGTGATGTTGGGACCAGCATTGACGGTGTACGAGGAGCAGCCTGGCGAGTAGCGTCATGCCGTTGTAGCGTCAGGCCGTTGTGTTAGAAAGTGATGCCAGAAAACTAAAAAGGGTCAGCATACAAAGCACTGCCGCACATTTCTTCGGTATGTGCTGCAGAGTACCCATAATCTACAAGGCTCAAAGAGGGTGGATAGGTGAAAACCTTGAAAATCACTGGTCAACAACCACCAGTATCAAGACCCTCGAACGACGGGTGAAAGTACTCAAGTACAAGCAAGCAAGCCAAAACACCCACACAAACACACACGAGTGCCGCCCATCTATGCATCAAGAAACCTGGCAAGCTCGGCTGGGCCTCTACGCGATGACGCCGCCTGTCCGCCTCAGGGCCAAAGGGTCTGCACTCACTGACGGGTGCGGTGTAAGTGATGGCGGCCGTGTTGGCGGTCTTCGTGCACCCTGTGGCCGGCAACGGGGCGCGGGGAACGGGGCGCCGGGACGTTTGGCGGGAGCGGCTGGCAGGCGGCAGGCAGGTTGGTCGAGGCCGTTGCTGAGCCAGTCCTCGCATTGGGAAGCCCGTCATCAAGATGGGCAGCAAGTTCCCCCTGCCCCCCTCCCCTCCCTCAACCGGCCCCTGCCACCTCCCCGCTCGGCACGGGTGCGCTGCGCTCACCGTTCTTGGTGGCGGAGGCAGTGATCACGGTCGCCGAGCCGGACGTGAAGCCCGTGCACGTGTAGGTGTCGGTGGCAGCCGCCGCCACGCATGTCACCCCC